ATCTCCCAAATGATGTATGGAAGAAATTTTTCAATAGTAATCCCTCCAATCATTATACAAAATGCGAAAATTGCAAAGTAAACTATAAAAACAACGAATGTTTTGTATACAAAAGTGCATTTATTGATCTAACCAATAGAGCTATCACATTTGAATCCGTTTCATCTCTAAAATTCTTACACTCGAATACTTTTTTTCGAAATTGTTCAATGACCACCGATGGTGATGGTGGATCAGTTCACTTTACAGGCTCTGGTACCATAGTTCAGCATCAATTCTGCTGCTATGGCAGTATGTTAAAATCCATTTTAGGAGTGTACTCTTATACTTTCCTCGATTCATCGTCGTTTTCGTACTTAGTTGAAAGTTCATTGTACAATTGCGGAAAGCCAGACGTCGGAGATAGTTCAATAAGAATTTCGAAAGGAACCGCAGGTTTAACTTATTGTAATGCAAGCAGAAATACTTTAATAGGAAATACTGTTTATTGTATTCTTTCCATGGATTTTCAGACTAAAGTTAATTTTTCATCTTTTCATGGAAATATTGCAACACCTGTTGATTCAATAATTCAAAATTATCAGTCTATTGATTATAAGTATTGCAATGTCATGAATAATGTTCAAGTTGGTACAAGCAGAGGAGTTCTTACAGTAATTTACGGAGATCTCGAAATGAATTCTTGCTCCATTATAAATAACACATGTAATGGAAAAGTTTTATTCTGTGAAAATTCGGTTTTTACTATAAAAAATTGTTATTGTGATTCAACAACTTCATCATATAGCGTGACAGTTGTTGCCCCAATGGCATATTTTAAGAATTCTCTTGATGACATTGGAATCCGTGTCTGCTGGAAGTATCATAAGTTTTCTGACATTGAATTTTATAAATTCATTGGAATTTCTTGTACTTCTAGTGAAGTTATGCTAGGATTTGACTAGTAACAGTTTCTCTAAACTTTTTTTTTGAAATTTTTCTTGGTTTAAAGGTGACCAAACTATTTTTTGAAAGTCCGCCATAACTTTAATGGTACTATTTCAGCGTGTACAATGAATACAAAAATTCTAAGAGTGCCACATAAAATAGTACTTTAGACTTGAGTTAATGCTACCAAGCAAATGTTAAAAAGATGACTTTAGTGTTTTGATAATCAAAGATTAAAATCATTATTGTCTAAATCAATAATCATAACGACAGAAGTTAATGTTTTTTCATAAGTGCTTTAAATCCACTTTTAAAAGTATACCTCAAAAATCAAAATATCAAAAAAAAATTGGCCGATAGGTTTGGCTTTAATTTTTGTCTGCTTTTATGATTTGATATGGATGTTATAATTTTAAAAGTTGAGCCAAATTCACCAATAGATTTTTGAGATTTGCAAATACTCAATAATTTTCAGCGTGTTATCTTTTATTAAAAGAACTATTTGGTTTCAGTATCATATAAATTGATATTTACTTTCTATTTGAACCTTCATTTAGCTAATGATTAAATAATACAGATTTCATCTAGTCCTTATAAGAGAATTTTGAATTTGTTATAATAAAAAAACAAACAGATATAGCTTACACTTCTATAATAAAGATACCTTTTATAGAAATCAGTATGAAATGTGTTTTGGCTTATTGGAAGCATATCAGACATAATCGCCATAATCAAAAAATCTATATACCCAATAAGTAATAAATTTGTCGATATAGATTTTCCATAAAATTAGTTTTTAGTCTGATCTTAAAATAAATTTAATTTTTTATAAAAAAAATCACATTTAAAAGTACCTTTTTAGTAGCTCGAAATCCTGTTGGTGGATTTCGGGCGTACTTCAAAATTAGCTTTTCTTCTACATATGCAAGCTATATTTTAAATATGGAGCAAATCGGATCGGTGAAAGTAGTTTAGTTACCTTTCTTGGTTTGAAGGATGCCTTATGAAGTGAGATGACGTGATTTCGTATATTGCTTATTACTTCATATGTGGTATGGGATATTAATATTATTGAAAAATAAATTAGTATTTTTTCTGAGTCGGTCAAATATACTCAGAATAATTTTTATTTTATATATCTAAGGCTACATGTCTTATATAAAATTTTTAAAAAATTGCAAAAATAAGTTTCATGTCTTATGTAAAATTTTTCATTTTTAAAAATAGACTGTACAAATTCTGATCCATCTGTCTATATAAATGGCATGCAGCAAATAATAGCCATATGTAAGGGTCGTGGAATTCCCGAAATTGCAGAGCGTTTAAAGCAAGTCAAAGATAAATTTACACCTGAGTTTATTACACAATTTCAACCTGAAACAGCATTAATTATGCAATCATTTCAAGGGATTCAAAACTTTAAAGGAAAATTTTCTAAGAAAAATCCAAAATTCATTGCATTTCTAAATCAAATTGAAGAAATGATAGATTCAATTAGCATATTCACCAATTTCATAACTTTGATCAAAGGAAAGAGATATGAATTCGAAATGGCTGAGATATTTAGAAGACTTTTCAAAATGTCTTTTCATCCTCCTCAAGATGATAATAGTTATGAAACATTGGTTTATCCTGTGTACAACATATTTTTCGATTTCTTTAATATGAATTCGAATATAATAAACTTCAAAAGTTCAACAGGAAGTGGAAAAACGAGATGTGCACCTTTCATGTTTTCGATACTTTCTTATTATGAAGAACTCAAGATGCCTTTCTTCATAATGACACAACCAGGAAAAACAATCATTGATGACAAAGTTGAAGACTTCACCAATTTCTTTGGTGACACAGTTATTTTAGAAACAGATCCCAAGAAATACTTAGAATATTACGAACAGCAAAACATAACAAAACCCATCATTGGTTTGTTCTCTCCTCGTTCTCTTTTAGTTCTTATTTCAAAAGCCAACAAAAAACACATCAAAATATTCAACAGAACAAGATTCTGCCTTGATGAAATCCATGAAAGAGATTGTCACACAGATGCAGTTATATCAGAATTAGCTGAGAATTGCCCTAAATATAAGATCAAGAAACACATAATGATGATGTCTGCAACTCCTGATAATCGAATATTTGATGTATTTCGAGAAGATGGAATTGAAATCAAAGAATTACATCTTAAAGAAAAATGTTTATTCCCTATCAAGGATGTAATTGTTAAAGTAGACAATGTTAATAATATTGCAACCACGGCGGTTAATAATGCAATCCAAATCATTGATAATATGACAACAAACACATCAATACAAGGTCATATCTTAATATTTTCATCTGGAAGACAAAGAATTCTTGAGATTTATGACTTATTTTTATCAAGTATCAAAGAATTTATCAGTAATGAAAAAAAGCGAGAAGAAGAAAAAAGGCGTGAATTCAATGAAACAATGAATCTTCCTATAGCAAATACAAAAAGAAAAGGTAAAAAGAAAAAACAAAAAGAACAGACACCAGAGTTTTTATTTCAGAAAGTTGGAATTCTTTTAGACTGCGAAGAAGCATTGAATGATGAACAGAAATTTTATCAGTACATAAAAGAGAATGTCACTGATAAAAACAAGCTTTACATTCTTCCAATTCCATTTCTCAGCTATGTTTCGAACTTCCAGAAACACATTGCAAAAAGCAATATTCCGAACTATGACAATATAATCAAAGTTGTCATTGCTACAAATGCAATTGAATCTTCAATAACAATTGATAATATGGCAGCTGTTATTGATTGCGGCATTTGTAATACTCCAGAGTTCAACTCTTTGACAGGAATTACAAATCTTAAAGAATCTCAAATCACAAAGCAAAATCAAATGCAAAGAAGAGGAAGAGTTGGTCGTGTCATGCCTGGAACAGCAGTTCAAATTACTGTTGAAGGAGAAATTATCCCAGATTATCAAGAACCAGAAATATTAACAAGTGACATATCTGCTTTCATTTTAGATCTTCGAAGAATTGGTATAAGATTTGAAAATCTTAAGAAATTGCCAAATGAAGTTCCATTAGAAACAGTACAATCAAAGATCAATATATTAAAGAATATTGGTGCTTTGGATTTAACAACAGGAAATCTCACAAAGAAAGGATTGAAATTATCATCGTTCAGAAACTTTTCTCCATTTATTTCTGCATCAATAATGAATCTTTCAAATAAATATTATGAAGGAAATTACATTCCAATGATTCTTGCAGCATTAGTTATTAAGTTGATATCAGGAGAAATCATTCAAAATAACTTATCGAAGATGTTTGTTAAAAACTTTAATGTCGAATCAGATGTTGACACAATCATGAAAACATTTATTGAAATGGTCAACACAAGAAAGAAAATCAAAGATGTCGCATTAGAATATGGTTTCATTCCAAAGAAGGCTACTCAAATCGTTGGTGAGATTTTCGAACTATGCCAAATGCTTGAAAAAGGAAAGAAAGATGAATTATGGCCAAGTCTCACCAAATTCTATTCAGATTGTCAATTTGTCCATGTTTTTTGTTCAAGATTATTTGAAGAGATACAAAGTAACTCAGAAAATGGAATTTGGATCATTGCAAGAAAGGCAGAATTGGATCTTGTATCAAATACGCTTTTTGAACCAGAATTTAGATTCAAAGCTGATAAATGTCTTGCTTTTAATTCAAATGAAGGTTACATTGTTACAAGATCAAGACCAGGATCTTTTAGTTTCAACATTCCATCAAATGTATTAATTCTTAATATTGCAAGAAATGCTAATTTGAAAATTAACTTTGGAAGCATTATTCATATCGATCTCACACAAGTACAAAATTACAAACCATTTGCAATTAATATTCCTAATTTTTATAATACACCATTTTTCATACCGATGTTGAATGGTTTTGTATCAAAATATCAAAATTACATGTTGAAATTCAATCAAATTGGAAGTGCATTGAAAGCAAAAGAAAGTGACATTTGTTTTGCTTTTTCATCACTTCTCAATAACAAAGAAATTTGTTTGAATTCATTCATTAAAGCTGACAAATATGAAAAAGTAGAAATGAAGATTCGTGAAGGAATCCAAATTGTTCAAGATTTAGCACCTTTTACACCACAAACAATTCTCATCATTCATCCATACATGAAATGCTGTTGTGCACTAAAAGGATATGGAATTGATAAGATTGATAATGATATCATTTCATTTGATGAACCAGAATACAAAGCATACCATGTCAATGAAAACACACTCAGATATATGCACTCGAAAATATCTGAACTTAGTAAACAGTCTAGTACATGTTCAATTGCTATCACAGGTGAAGATATGTCATTTTCATTTGATCAAACCGTTAAATTTGAAGGAAACAAGAAATTTGTTTCATTCCCACATACAAATCAAAAATGCAACTCTGTTTTTAGTATTCAAAAAGACTTTTCACATCTTGTCATCATATCTAAAGAAGAAATTTGTTTGGAACAAAGTCTTACTTGGCAAAATGTTCAGAACTATCAACAAGCCACAATTGGTGACATATCTGCATCAAATTATGAAAATATCTTTCCAAATGGAGTTAAAATCTTCTACAATCCATGGATCAACTTCTATCCAGATATATATTTAATTAAATATATCCAAAAGAAAAAAGTTGAAGAAGAATATGATGACTTAGATGAAGACTCGAATGATATCCTTACAATGGTGGAAAATATATTGAGGAGATATAGAATGGAACAAGAGAATGTAAGATCGAAATCATCCTTTAAAATTATCAATATTATTGACTTTTATGCAAATCAATGTGTGCACGGTGAAAAATTGATCAAAGATGTTGAATTTGAGCTACAAGATGTATTAGGAAAATGTAATTTTGGAAAAGCAATTGGATTAAGATCACATTTAATGAAAACTAAACAGTTGCCATCTCTTGAAAAGCTCAAATCAATTAAAAATGTAATTGAAGATGCACTTATGGCTCCATTTTCATTAATACCAGATCTCAGATCATTAAATATTGATAAAAGACTCCACAACCTTTCGATTGTTTATCAACAAATTGCATTAGCAAAATTATTTAATCTCAAATTTGCACATAGCGTGAAATTCCTCAAAAACTGCATCACAATTAAAATCAAGAATACAGAAAATAATGATGAAAATATTGCGAAGATTTCAAAGATTTTGAGGTCATTTAATGTTCACAATCAAGAAATTCTTCCGACATACGAAGTTTATATCAAACATTTGTCTGTGTACAAGTTGTCGGAAGAAGAATTTACGGAAAAAGTTCATTCAGTTCTTGATCATTTTGGAGGTACAATTTTCGAAGTATCAAAATATTATGAGTCAAAGACCAAAAATTCTCATGAAAAAGGTATAATTATTGCAACTGTTTGTTCTAAAGAATTCCTTCAGCCACTCATTACAATGTTAAGAGATCAATTTTCAAATGAAATTATCCTTAACATTCCAGAAACAGTCATTCCAAGTTATTTGACAAGATACAGAGAAGTTTTAAACGCTTTGACAAAATATTTTGAAGCGAAAAAGATTCCAATTAAGAACATCAATTGTGATTTCTATGGAACAAAAAATGATGTTGAAAGAGCTGAACAAGAATTACTCAATGATCCACCACATCTTCCAATTACTATAGTCAACATCACACCTGACATCAATACAAAATCCCTTGAAATTGCACTCAGGACACAATCAGTTCCATGGAAATTCAACAAGAGAAACAAAATTCTCATTGTTCCTGAAGATGTCAAACAGGAAACAATCATGGAATTCATTGAAAAATATGGAAGAAAAGATTTATTAATTTCTAAGAATAGCTTTGATATACCAAATTGTTTTGGCGATGATATTTTGTGCCATGGAGATCAGGCATTACAATCAAATGAAAGCATCAATCTTTATTTCCCTAATAAATCCATTGTTTCAAGACCAGTCTGCCTTCAATGCGCAAAGGAAACAATTGCGTTCAATCTTGGAAGAATTGTTGATCAAAATGGTCATGTCAATGTTTCAAGAGCAATTGAAAATTCCGAGCACATTGATATATATTCATTCTATGAACCAACAGCAGAAACAGATAAGAAGAATGGAATCTGGCCAACTACACCATTTGGTCATTTAATTTGGATTTTATTATCATCAACCATTTCTAAAAAAGAAACGAAGGCATATATCACAGCATTGGCAGCATTGGCATTCCACAAATCACCAATGTTCACTTATTGTCCAAATCATCCTGATGTTTTTATAAAGATAAATCAATATGGTATGACATGCTGCCAACAAAAGAATTGTAATATGATCAAATGCAATTCATGTGGTAAATGGCATCCAGCAGGAAAATGTGAAAATCTCGAAATACCAGCTGGATGTAGACAATGTCCTTTCTGTCAGAATATCGTTGAAAAGTCGCAAGATTGTAATCACATCAAATGCTCGTGTGGTAAACATTTTTGTTACTATTGCGGCAAGGGATTTGACACTGATGGTGAAGTTATAACCACATGAATACTGCAGATCATATCTATGATCCACCAGACTATTTGAAGTTTGTCTTGCATCAGAATATTCCTGAAGCAAATCTCCGAGAATTCTATAATAAGTTTCCAATTTTTAGAACATATATTTATCGTCCTTAATTAATATAATAATAAATGTTTGTTTTATTGTTTAATGTTGAAATTTACGAAGTTTCAATCAAAAAGACTTTTTAATTAAACTAATATTAAATTTTTACTTATAATATAGATTTATACGGATTGTAGTGCTTTATTTAACTTTATCATTCAAATGCATATATTTATTATTGATATTTTGAAATATCCTCACAATAAAAAAGATTTTGGATTATTCAAAAAGTGATCTAAGACATGAAATATTCAAAAAAATTATTAAAAGATATTGGAAGTTACAGATGGCATATGTATGAGTAGTTATGTATTCTATATAAATTCATTGCCTTGATCGACAAATTAAGATTTAATTTTTAAAATTTATTAATTCGTGAAGAAACTAGGACATCATCAATGCTATGAAGATTTAATGATAATGAGATATATTCCTACCATGAAAAAAAAATGAAAGGGCACTTTTTCATCACGTCTTGAAATCCCGTCTTACCATGTTTTTGTATGATTTAGTCTCTCGTAAATTTTTTATCCTGATTTATCATAAAATTTTTAAAAATTAATATTTCAAGCTCTCAAAAATTATTTTTGTATTATGGAACAAACCAGCGCAATTTATGAGGGTATGCTTCAATCAATTGCGCAGTTAGAGGTTTGTTACTATAAAAACAGTTTCAGAGGCGGAATAAATGATATTCACGATATCAAGAAAAAGATTTCGAAAGATTTGGTTGAACGATTTGAACCTGAATTTCAATTAATTCAACAATCAATAAGGAATCTATGCAACTTTCATGGTGACTTTAATGACAAGGATCAACTTTTTAAGATCTACAAAGACCATGTAAAAACTATCAAAAAATCTATTGAGATTTTTCTTGAATTCATAAAAATGATCAAAGGAAAGAGATATGAATACGAAATGGCCGAGATATTTAGAAGACTTTTCAAAATGTCTTTTCATCCTCCCGAAGATAATAATATACGAAACATTGGTTTATCCTGTTTATAACATATTTTTCGATTTTTAATATGAATTCGAATATAATAAACTTCAAAAGTTCAACAGGAAGTGGAAAAACGAGATGTGCACCTTTCATGTTTTCGATACTTTCTTATTATGAAGAACTCAAGATGCCTTTCTTCATAATGACACAACCAGGAAAAACAATCATTGATGACAAAGTTGAAGACTTCACCAATTTCTTTGGTGACACAGTTATTTTAGAAACAGATCCCAAGAAATACTTAGAATATTACGAACAGCAAAACATAACAAAACCCATCATTGGTTTGTTCTCTCCTCGTTCTCTTTTAGTTCTTATTTCAAAAGCCAACAAAAAACACATCAAAATATTCAACAGAACAAGATTCTGCCTTGATGAAATCCATGAAAGAGATAACTATACAGATGTTGTAATCTCTAGGCTTGCCGAGAATTGTCCTCCTTTTAAGATCAACAAGCACATCATGATGATGTCAGCAACTCCTGATGATAGAATATTTAAAGTTTTTAACAGAAATGGATACAAAAAAGGAGACTTGATATTAACTGACAAATGTTTGTTTCCAATCAAAGACATTTCCATAACTGTAAAGAATACCAATGAAACAGGTAATGAAGCAGTGAAGAATACAATTACAATCATTGACAACATGGCCAATAATAAATCATTGCAAGGACACATTTTGATTTTCACTTCCGGAAGACAAAGGATCTTAGACATTCACAGACAACTCATCGTTGAACTTAAAGAACACAAAAGAAAAGTTCAAAAAGTTAGATTACTCTTATACGCAGAAAATGTAATGAGTGATGAACAAAGCTTCATGAACTACCTGAAAGAGAATGCATCTGATAGTGATAAGCTCTATATACTTCCTATTCCATTCATTAGTTATGTTCCTCCATATCAAAAGAAAATTGCAAAAGGCAATATACCGAACTATAATAATATTATCAAAGTTGTCATTGCAACAAATGCCATTGAATCATCAATTACAATAGATAAAATGGCTGCTGTAATTGATTGTGGAGTCATGAATATTCCTGATACTAATTCATCAATTGGAGTCACAAATCTTAAGGAATCTCCAATCACAAGGCAAAACCAACTTCAGAGAAGAGGAAGAGTTGGTAGAGTAATGCCAGGAACAGCTGTTCAAATCACAGTTGAAGGAAAGAAAATTCCAGAATATCAAGACCCAGAAATATTAAAGAGTGATATTTCTTCTTTTGTTCTTGATCTCAGAAGAATTGGAATTAGATTTGAAACGCTTTATAAACTTCCAGATAAAGTTCCAAAAGAAAAAGTCAATTCAATCATTAATATGTTGAAGAATATTGGTGCATTAAATCAAACCACAGGAAATCTTACAAATGATGGATTTATGTTATCATCATTCAGAAACTTTTCTCCGTTTATTTCAGCATCAATTTTGAATCTTTCAAGAAATTACTACGATGGCGAAGTTACACCAATGTTGCTTGCAGCTTTGTCCTTAAAACTAATATCAGATGATATTATTTTAAATAATTTATGTCCAAAATTTGTCCAAAACTTTAATTACGAATCTGACCTGGACACAATCATGAAAACATTCATTGAAATGGTACTTAAAAGAAGAAAGATTACTGAAATTGATCCAGATTTTGGATTCCATCCAAAGAATGCTACACAGATTGTTGGAGAAATATTTGATCTTTCAGAAACATTGGATATAGGTGATACCGAAGATTTGTGGACAAATATTGACAAGTTTTATCAAAACTGTGATTTTGTTCATACTTTTTGTCAAAGATTATTTGATGAAATCGAAAAGAATTCCGAAAATGGTGCATGGATAACTGCCAGGAAAGCTGAATTAGATATGATTTCGAATACCAAGTTGGAGCCTGAATTTAGATTCAAAGCAGATGAATGTCATTCATTTGAAGAAACGGAGAAACTTGATGAAAGCAACAAATTTGCCGAATATATACCATCAGATGACAAAGAAAAACAAGAAAGCTAATCCTGGTTCATATAGTTTTAACGTTCCATCAAACGTATTGATATTGAATATTCAACGTAATGCAAATCTTAAAATGAACTATGGAACTATCATTCATATAGATCAAAGGGCAGAACAAAAATACAAACCATTTTCTATAAACATCAATTCGTCATTTGATACTCCATTTTTCATTCCGATGATGAATGTATTTGTTTCTTATTATTACAAATTGATGTTGAAATTCAACTTGATTGGAAAAGCATCAAAATGTAAAAATGGAAGCTCTTTCTTTGGATTTTCATCTCTCAATAACAACAAGGAAATTTGCATGAACGCATTTCCCGCAACTAAAAAATATGATGAAATTGTTAGTAAAATTAATGAAGGAATAAAATTGGTACGTGATTTGGCACCATTCACACCACAAACAATTCTTATCAAGCATCCAACAATGGAATATTGTTGCTCTCTAAAAGGTTACGGAATTGACAAAATCGATTATGATGTCATTTCCTTCAATGAACCATCATTCAATGCTTATCATGTTAACGAAGCATCGATCAAATATATTCATTCTAAAATTGAGGAACTCAGTAAACATTCAAGCATTTGCACAATCGCTATTACAGGAGAAGATATGTCATTTTCAGATGATAAAGATGATATTGTTGATGAAGATCAAAAGAAAGAAAAGAAAAAGAAAAAATTTGTTTCCTTTCCGCATACTTTTGCAAAATGTGATTCAGTTTTCAGCAAGCCAAAGATTATTCACATTTGGTAATAATTTCAAAAGAAATTATACCCAAAGCAGAAAGAATTACATGGAAAGTAAACAAACCTCCAGAAAAATGTACTCCAGATCCTAATTCCACAAAACAATGGGAGGATATCTTTCCAAATGCAGTTTGTGTTAATAAAACACCATGGGTTTTATTTTACCCCCAGAGATATGCCATTGAATATCGTTCAACAAAAGATATTCCAAATATTCCAAATCGAAGAAATCAAATTATCAAATTATTAGAATTCGCTCCAATAATTGAAGAATTCAGCAAGAAATGTGTAGATGGACAAAATCTTATCAATGATGTTAATCTAGAAATTACAATTACAGGCACTTTTGATTATGATAAAGTAATTGAATTAAAATCATCCTTAGTCAAGGCCAATCAAATGCCAACAATTCATCAATTAAATGAACTTAAAATAATGTTGGAGGAAGATCCTGATTTGTACACTGAAATCGCAAGGTATCATAATATTGATGTAAGGCTTTTGGAAATCCGAAACGTTAATAAATTGCTTGCTTTGGATAAAATCACTAAATTTAAACAAATTCAATCCATCCAATTCATTAAAAATTGCGCAACATTTAAAATTCATAGAACTGATAATTTATCGAGTAAATTCCTCAAATTCATGAAGACTTTCAAAGTTTCAAGGCATGAAATTCTTTCAACTTATGAAGTTCAAATTAAAAACTTGAACTCGTTCAACCTACAAAAAGATGAATTTATGAAAAGAGTTCAATCTGTTTTAGAGCATTTTAATGGAGTGATCTTCAAAGTATCGAAGTATAATAGAGGTTTTGAAAATGGATCAGTAACAGTAACAGTTCCAAAGGAATTTCTTGAACCATTAATTGCAATGCTGCGTAACAAGATTTCAAACAAATTTATTTTGAAAATTCCTGAAGAAATAGTTCCAAGCTATTTGTTGAATTATCGAGAAGTACTTAATTCATTATCAAAGTACTTTGAATCCAAGAAAATAAATTTGATAAATGATGATTATGATTTCGTGGATTTTTGGAAGATGTTGAGCGTGCAGAGAAAGTATTATTCGAGGATCCTCCAAAACTTCCGGTATACTCTGTCAAAATTCCACCAGATTGCAATATAAAATCCCTTGAAATTGCCATCAAGGCTCAAAACAGTTTCTATCAACTTGACAAAAGATTCAATTTCCTTATCGTTCAATAGAAGAAGATCAAGAAACAGTTAACACTTTCATTGATAGATTTGGAACACGTGGTATATTTGTTGGAAAAAGAGGAGTTCCTGAATGTTTTGGTGATGATGTTTTGATGCATAATGATCCAACACTTCATTCAAACGAAAGCGTTAATATTTATTTCCCAGAAAAATACATCGTTTCAAGACCAATTTGTCTTCGATGTGCAAAAGAATCAATTGCATACAATCTTGGAAAGATTATTGACTTGAAAGGAAATATCAATATTCCAAGAGCTCTTACAAACGTGGATCATATTGGCATATACTCGTTTTATGATTTCCGAAACAAATATGATCAATCTCAAGGAATCTGGCCAATTACTCCATTAGGTCATTTGATTTGGATTTTATTGTCATCACCAATATCCAAAAGAGAAACGAAAGCATACATAACCGCTCTCGCATCTCTTGCATTTCACAAATGTCCAATATTCACTTATTGTCCGAACCACCCAGAGAAGTTGATATTTAAACAGAAGTTCACAGAAATGCATTGTCTTAAAAAGACCTGTAATATGATCTTGTGTGTTCATTGCGGTCAATGGCATCCTGAAGGTAAATGCGAAGGTAATGATATACCATTGGGTTGCAGACAATGTCCATTCTGTGATACTATTGTTGAAAAAATCAAATTATGTAATCATATTTCCTGCTCTTGTGGAAAACATTTCTGCTACTATTGCGGAAAAGGATTTGACGATGGAGGTGATGTTTACCGGCATATGGATAGTGCAAAACATAATGATGATCCACCAGATTATCAGAAATTTGTCCAACATAAGAGTGTTTCAGATGAAACACTTGGAAAATTTTATAATGAATTTCCTGATATAAGGAAATTCATCAAACATTAATAACTTGTATAATTTTTTAAATTTTTGTTAACCATAAACTTATATTATATTATATTATATTATATCTGTTAACTTTTTTACATATTTCGGAATTGAATTGTTCAATTTAGAGTAATTAAGCGAAATTCACTATGTTTTGGATGTAGAAATTATAGTATATATATAAATATGATGTTTTATGCCATGAAATTATGAATTTTGACTCAGATTTCGCAAATTCTATTGTCATAATTCTGCCAAGAGTAAATAATTTTGAGCCGATGTTGGCATACTATATAAATATCATTGTGTTATGTTTTCGTAAGATAGAAAGTTTTAAAAATTATCGTCCCAAAATGAATTTTTTTTAAGTGGCTGTAAATCGAGTAAAATTAATGTACTATTGGTTTGTAACATATCTCAATTGATGAAATTGATGAAATACATAATTTGAATGCTTGATTGAAACGCTGAAATATAATTCTATGAATTAATTCAAAATATTCTGTAATCCCGTACTTTTCAAATTTAGTCGGGTTTGAAATAAAATGTTTTATTAAAGAATGATAAATATTATTATGAAAAACGATGAAAATAAAATTCAATTCAACAAATCAAATGATTTGGAACCTTCTTGCCCTCACGTGTGAGGCGAACATTGAAGTGGTAAAACCAACCGGATATGGAACCCTCGGAACTTTTGATATAAAATATAAAGGGCAGTCATTATCTCAATTTGATGCTGGTACATATGTTAATTTAATTGTTAATGGAGAGAAACAGCCATTAGACTTTAGCAATAAGGTAACAAATAATGGATTGGAGGCTCAATTTAGCTACAAAATTACCGATGATATTGTAAAAATAATTTATACAATAAATAACCCAACAAGCCAGCCAATCAGATACAAACTAGGTGTGTATAGTGATGTTGATTTTAACAAAGGATTTATAGAGTCAAAAGATAAAGTTTATCCGCTTACAGATAAATCTTTTTATGTAGAACAATATGATGATGCTGATTACAAATTTGTTTATCTTTTGATGAGTAAAAATGGTTATTACGGTCCAGATGACTATTTTTATGGAAATTCTATGGCTGTTGACAGAAATGCTGACAAATATTTCTTAAAATTTGACAATTATAATCCCACACCAACATTATCTGATGTTGTTGATATTTTAATATCATATTCATGGAAGGAAAGAGAACTTGCAGCAAATTCTCAAGAAATTCTTGCATTAAAATTAGGTTTTACAAAAACACCAAAAATTTCTAAACAGCCACAAGATAAGACACAATATTCATCATCATGCTCAATCCCCCTAACAATCAATGTAGATGATGACAAATTTGGAAAAAGTTAAAATAGAAGACTATACTGCAAATGGCCAAGAAATAAATGTTAATGCTAATATTCCTGTCCCTTCAACTGTTACATACGAGTCTGGAGAAAAACAATTATCTATTTATGTAATTGATGAACTCTCAATTAAATCAAACATTGAGACATTTAGTTTTACTGTAAAGAATAAACCAGAGCTTTTGAACTTCAAGCTCAATCCAAATAATGTAATTTCAAGCCAAGATGTTCATATAGAAGGCGATATCAATGATTTAGATAAAACAAAGAAAGTATTTGCATATTGCAAATTCGATGTGGATAGCGAGAAACAAAAGATTGCCGAATTTGTTTCTGATGCAACAGCTCATAAAGTCAACTTCGACGCCAAAGTTCCGACATATGATTCAATTGGAAAGAAATCATTCAAAGTATGGGCAACAGATGTTGAGAACGCAGATGCTCCAGATGATGCGAAAACAATTGAATTTGAAGTGATAACAAAGCCAACTGTAGAATTCGAAGAAACAGCAAAACGAATCTATTCAGCATCTGATGTTATGGAGATAAAAGGAAATGTTAAGGCAACGACAGAAGTAACACTTCATTTCTACATTGATGGCATTTTGCATGAAGGATCTATTGAATCTGTGAAACAAGGAACACTATTTCAAGGATTCAAGATTACTGATAAAATTGGTTTTGGAAAACATAAAATCTTTGTCACAGTTGTCGACAAAAATGGAATTGAATCTGATCCATCTGCTGAATATGAATTCCAAGTCAATAATGGGCCAGAACTATACGATGTGGCAAGAACTCCAGACAAAATTAAAGTAGGAGAAGAAATAACTATCACAGGCTATGTTGAAGATGTTGATTCAGGAGACGAAATAACAATCATTGTTATGATTGGAATTCTTGAAGGAGGAAAAACTACAATTAAATCAGAAGGAAAAAGAAAAGAATTCAATATCATTATTAAGACTTCCAAAGAAAATGGTTTAGGATGGAAATTGATATCTGTATCAGCCATTGATAAAAATGGAAAGAAGTCTTCAGTAAAAGAGTTATCAGTACAGATCGAAGACAATTCAATTGAATCAAACACCGAAAATGATAAAGAGAAGGATAAAACTCCTGAGCCAAACGATAACTCTAAAACAAAGAAAATTGTAATTCCTGTTGGAATTTCACTCGGAGCAATTCTTGTTATAGTTATTGTGATAGTTATTGTATTAGTTGTGATCAAAAAGAAGAAGAATTCAAATTCTGATATTGTTTCTGACAATGAAGCCTATATGAATAATAATCCTTAATGAATAAAGTCTTTATAGTTAATGATATTCAAATATTGATAATATTGAAAATTTTTTGACTTTTGTCTCATATTATACTCTTGAATGATGAGGTATATTGTATTCTAGTTTATATTATCCTTTAAAATTTTAAAATTTCGACGTAATGCATAATCAATAATGTGAATAGAGAGAAAAGAGTTATACTTTAAGTATTATTAAGGCTCCAGTCCCACCATTTCAATTTTTTAAAATTGAATATATCCGTCAATAAGAGTTTTCATGACTTATA